GACGTGAATCAGAAATAGTCATGAAACAAATTAAAAAAACATGATCATGGATACTTATTAACGCCACGTGGCAAACATCCATAGGCGGTACAATCTACCGGTCCTCGTGAATAAAAATGTACACACTCATCAACTGACCTCTGCCTAGGCCTGAAAGGTATACAGTTCCCAGCATCATCCTTATCCTTAAGCTTCAGACAAGAACTCGGCTCCTTACAGAAATAATTCCCCGAGTACGTAAAATTCTCGAGCCTCGGCAGCCTGCAAATACTCTCCGGAATATCTCCCGACAGCCTGTTTCCCGCCACATTCAGCTGCTCGAGTCCCTTCATATTCCCCATCGACTCCGGCAAACTCCCCACTAAACTATTAAAGCTCACGTCGAAAACGGTCAGCTGAGTCAACTCCCCGATCTCGTCCGGCAAGCACCCGCCCAAACCCGAGTTCATAAGTATAATCTCTTGCAACGTTCCCTTCAAATTCCCGATCTCCTTCGGAAGGCACGACGAGCCTTGGAAATTGTTATTCGCCAGAACCAATACCGACACTGGTAAATTCCCGATATTTTTCGGTATGCTGAGTTGGAAATTGTTGTTGTTTATGAAAAGCGCGTCCAGCTTCAGGTCGAACAGACCTGAAGGGACTGCGCCCTGGAACTGGTTGAACCGGATATCGAGGAATTTTAGTGAAGGGAGAGAGAGTAAAACGTCTGGGAATCCCCCGGAGAACAAATTGTTGCTCAAGTCGAGCTCGTATAGAAGTCTGAGGCTCTGGAATGCGTAAGGGATTGTGCCGGTAAAGCGGTTTGAGTTGAGGTGGAAAATGGCTAAGTCAGTCAGTTTTCCGAGGTCTGGCGGGAGACTGCCGGATATGAACGCGCGATTGAGGTCGATTCCGGCGACTGTGGTCGTGAAGTTGTCATCTGGCGAGGGAGCGCAGAAGACTCCGGTGTAGTTGCACACATTGCATCCGACCCAGTTGGACGTGAAGTTTTGAGGGTCGGAGGTGATGGTGAGTTTCCAAGCTTGGAGGGCTTGGTAGGCTTGAAAGAGTCTAGGGTTTTGGAATTGGGTGAGAGTGATGGGTTGTGAGGAGATGAGTGGGGTGAGATGTAGGAGGAGGAGTGAAAATAGTGTTAGTGAAATGTTCTTNTATGAAGGTTTGATGGGGAGATAGTGTGGGGTGTGATTGAAATATTGATCATGTTTTGAAGATAGGATGGGTGTGAACAAGCATGATTACAAAAATGGATGGTATCTCAATATTTTAAATTGTTGGTGAGGTGTGTTTTATATATTATATGGTGCTAATGTCAATAGGTATCAGGAATTTCCGAAATTGATTTAATTTGGTTGATCATAAGGTAGATAGGTGCAGGTGGGTTTGAAAATTCATCCTAATTTTTTTTTATATATGTAAAAAAATAAAATTGTTTGGCTCGGTCTGTTTACTTTTGTTATTATTCTAGCATTTATTTCTTCCTTTTGTTTTCTATTTGTTTAGACTTTTTAGTCAAGTACACATTTCGTTGTTAATTATATATACTTCTTGCTGTATTGAAGAAAAGAAAAACACGGGGGTTGGGCAATTTTCAAAAAGCTAGGCGGATGAAGATATTTAGCTTCTGATTACGCCGTAAACACGGATTTTATATTGAAAAAAATGTATAAATATTCGCAAATCTATATATATTGAAAGTGGTTGATGAAATAATTTGAAACAGTAATTTTAACTTTATAATTCATAGGTTGACTTACTATTAAAAAAAACATAGTAAAAATTACTTTAATACCAATATAATACTCTTGTATTATACGCGTGTATTAAAAAAAATATATTTAAATTAAAAATAATAATTAATATTTTTAATTTTTAAGTACTTTTTTGAATAATTATATTACTATTTATGTTTAAAATAACACACACCACTTATACGGCTTATCGTCTCGTATTATTATATTTTGTAAAATTATATCAATTAAAACCCTTGTATTTAAATTGAATTAAATCATTCTAGTTTTCTAATTAATATTAAAAGGTAATTTATTTTTTATTTTAAATATAAATATAATTATTTATTTATTTTGTATATACAATATATGTGTCAAATCTAAGCTCATCAAGACATGATTAATTTGATATATTATGTATAAAAAATTAGAAATAAATTAAAAAATATTAACTTTTAATTCTACTTATAATTAAGTTAGTAATTTTTTTAATAATTTCATAAGAAAGACGAGTATTAATCACATCTAGAATAGGATACAACATTAATTTTCTTAAAAAGAACCATAAATATCTAGTATATTTATGGCCTCCAAACCTAATTATTTTTGGATTTAAAGTAAATTAAAATTCATACAAACCAAATGACAAAGCATAAAAAATTGTCAGACAGGATCACGAAGCATGTGAGCCTGTCACTTAGGCCCAGCACATTCGAGAATTATATATAAGGGGGATTTATAAGAAAAAAAATAAAGTGATATCAATTTTGAAATAAAGTGCTATTAACCGTGCTACTCGGTTAATAGCATGACTTTCTATACAATAAAGTGGTATCAATTTTGAAATTATTTTATGATAATTATCACAATAAAAATTCGATTATTCATATTAATTACGAATCACTACAATTTTTTATTCTTTTAGTAACCAATCATACAACATGTCTTCAAAAAAGTTTCTATCAAATAGGTTTTGTCTATAGAAAATACTAGTACAACACCGGTGCATTACACGGGTGTTTGTTAAAAAATTATTCTTAAATGTTAAAATTAATGAGAAATTATTCTAATTTTTTTTTTTACAAAATTTTATATTATTATATATTTTAGAATGACAATTGTTACTTATGCGACTTACATGTGTTATATTATAGTAATTTTTATAACTCATATCATATAACTACTTGAAATATAAATATATTAATTGATAAATAATTTTATTTTCTAATTATATCAAAAAATAATTTTATTATTGTTATAAAGATAAATATAATTTATTTTTTATACATACAATATGGATGTTAAATCGAAGCCCATCAAGAGATGATTAATTTGGTATATTTATATATGTAAAACTAATAAAAAATACAAAAATTATTAACTTTTAAAGTACATTTACAATTCAATTGTTATAATAAAAATGATATTAAAATGTAATTAATACATATAACATGACCATAAATAATCAACATATTTATGGATTCCGAACCTAAATACTTTTGGATTGGAAGTAAATTAAAATCTTCCCAAGCATAATAACGAAGCATATAATTTTGCCACATAGGATCCCGAAGCATGTAATTTTAACCGCTCGACAGGAAGGTATTTGTACTGTATTTCATATCCCAACAATCTCCATGCAGCCTCACAGGATGAAACGTATCTGCAATCAAAGTATTGTTGTATTTCATCAACAACCTTTTCAGTCTTGTCCGTGTTCACATTCTTAAGGAGAGTGAATGCCATGATTTTTTGTTTGTTTGTTTTTTTTTTTTTTTTTTTTTGAAAATATAAACAAAACTCCACAATTATCCCCTNTTTTTTTTGCTTGCTTTCGTGTGTGTTTTGCAATTAAGGTATGATATATTGAGTCTGGAATAGATGTATTTATTTATAACGATTGAATAATACTCACTACTTAATCCCACTACAATATTAAAACATGCAGTACTTCTTAACTGCCGAACACGATAGAGAGTACGAGTACTTCTTAACTGCTGAACACGATAGAAACTGTAATCCAATTCAACCAACTGAAATACGAGTATTCATTTATCATTTATTATTTGTTAGTATTTGTTTATAGATTTGAAAATTAAACTAAAAATGCGGCAATTACGTAGGAACGACGTAGGTGAATCCTTCTTAATATCTGAACACGATAGATACTATTGCTTTCTGCAGTGGGACTAGTTACCGTGGTCAAAATGCATGGGAAGGGTGACAAGTATTATTATTATTATTATTATTATTATTATTATTATTATTATTATTATTATGTATTAGTCTTTATTTTTATAAATTTTTAAATGAAACTAAAAATGTGGCAGTTACATAGGAAAAATGTAGGTGAATCTTCTTAACTGCTAAAGACTGCGATTCAATTCAAGTTGTTCATTTATCATTTATTATTTAGTGTTGTACTTTATTACAATTACTATTATTTATTATTCTTTTATTTGGTAATTAGTAATTTTTAATTTTCTATTTTATGCAAGAACGACAATTCGGTCACATGAATGAACGTCCAAGTGAAGAGTTTTATTTTTCATTAGTAATTGTAATTATTAATCTCTCTCTCTCTATATATAAATATATCTGTATCCATACATATATATATATAAATTATATATATATAAAATATCCATAATACATCTCACCACCCACGCCAGGTACTGATACACCACTATTTTGCGTTAGCCGACGAATATCACGATCATGTGTCAAAAAACGAACTCCATTAACAACACACCCTGCATATAGCTGGACAAACTTGTCGCATCCACAAGCTAACGCGTACACTTCTTTAGAAACTGAATGGGGATTATAGTAAACCTAAAGTTTATTCAAATTATGATAACAAATAATATTCACTAATTTCACAAATAATAAACAAGTGCTAAGTATTGACAACTTTAAGTAAAGCTTAAATATATCTTTTTAATCTTTAACCTTTCATTCCATTTTTTTTTTTTGAAACATGAGAAATTCAATTTCAGATCAAGTATACTAAACATGAAATGTAAGTGAATCTTAAATATTATTACTATATTTTATTTGCATTTTAAAAATTCTCAAATTATATAGATTCAAAGTTGACATAAAATATATAAATAACACGCATCTATTTTTATAATTCGGTTTTTAATTTCGGTTCTTCGGTTCGGTACGGTATGAGACGATTCGGTTCGATTCTCGATACGGATATATATCCATGTTTTTGTCATTTTGTTAATTATATATTTTTTTTACTTCTCTTTTTTATTATATTTCTTAAATTAAATATCTATATTAATTATTATTCTAAATTGAATATCAGATTTAATTTTCCATGTATATATCCAAATTAAGTGTTTTGTTATTGCCGATATTTAGAAATATATGAAAAATATGAATACAAATTAAATTGTGCATAAAAAGAAAAAAGTAAGTAAACAAATGCTTAAGGAAGAAATCCCCAAATTGTGAAACACTTCTCAGGAGCCGCACGACCAACACACGCCTCCACTCACCGGCAGAAACAAAGAGGATTAGTCACAGGTAAGAATAATATTTGCAATTTCCTATTTATTTCTTGCCTCTTCGTAATAAAAATATATTACTTGCTCTGTTTTAGATATGTGGTTTGCTGCAACTTTTGATCCATGTTAGTTGATCTATAAGCTCTTTAGTTTTCTTAATTAAAATGACTTAGTTCCTGATATGTTCTTATAGAAAGAACTACCAGTATGAGTTTGGAATACTAATAAAATGAGTGATGAGTTGTAATTAGGACTCACCTTTTTGTAAAACCACTCTGAGAACCGTTGTCGGTGCTGAAATTCCAAGTCTGTAAAGCCACTTTCCATCAACTCTTGCTTATGCTCCCTGTCATAAAAGAAAATCAATAATTCACAATGGCAAGAATGTTATGTATACACAATGAACATAAAGGAAATGAAAATTCTTACTGAACAAATGAGTCTATTTCAGGACAATTGTTGAGTATGTAAAATTGTGAATGTTTATGCTTCACCGGGTCTAGAGCCACACTCTTACGACCTCCAATATGAATGCATTGTGATCTGAATACTGAAAGTTGTGCCGTCACATCACATATCGGATTTCTCTGTGGTCGATTGAACTTTGTCTCCACGTCATTGAAATAGCGTGCACAAAATGTTATTGCCTCTTTCGAGATATACGCCTCAGCGATTGAACCTTCTGGTTTAGCCGGATTTCTAACACATTCTTTCAGCTCCTTTAAATATCTCTCAATTGAAAACATCCATCTTAGGTGTTCAGGTCCACCTAAAATTGCCTCATCAGGAAGATGCATTACCAAATGAACCATTACATCGAAAAATGCAGGGGGAAATATCCTTTGCAATTTGCACAAGATCATAATCACATCCGACTGTGCTGAGATAAGGTCATTAACATTGAGACTTTTGGCACACATTTTTTTGAAGAAGTTACACAATTCTATGATTGCATCAGAGATATCCTTATCTAAGTATGCACGGGCTGCTACAGGTAACAATCTCTGCATTATGACATGACAATCATGAGATTTTAATCCTGTTAAGCGCCCCTCGTTTGGAGGCACACATCTTCTTAGGTTTGATGCAAATCCATCTGGAAATCTCACAGATCGGATCCAGTTGCAAAATGTAATCCTTTTTGTCGGAAGTGTATAACGAGCCCGTGGTTTCATTATCTTACCCTTATCAGAGTAAAGATGCAACTCCGGTCTAATATTCATGTTCATTAAATCTCGCCTAGAATTAGAAGTATCTTTTGATTTATGTGGATCATCCATGATTGTTCGGAGAAGACTGTCACATACATTTTTTTTTACATGCATCATGTCAATGTTGTGCTTCAATTCATTAGTAGACCAATAAGGAAGCTAAAAAAAAAAAAAATACTTCTCTTTCTCCAGTTTAACTCATCTGCATGCTTTTTTATCTTTGCACCACCGTACTTCTTATGCTTCCCGGGTATCTTTGGCCTAACTCGATTCAACTGCATCAATATGTCTGTCACTGATTTCTTGCTTGGAGGGCCTCGAAATTCGATTTGACCATCAAAGTCACGCAATTTTCTCCATCTATGGTTTACCGGAAGGTACCTTCTATAGCCCAAGTACACTGTCTTGCCCAATATACGCTGCGAAGGAGTTTCATCATTGCACGTGGGACAAGCCATGTAACCTTGACCACTCCATCCTGAAAGGCTGCTTCTAGCGGGGAAGTCATTAATTGTCCACATTAATGCAGCTCGCATCCGAAACATACCACAATTTTTCGTTGCAGCATCACGTGTATCCACACCAATAGATCACAATATCTTCAAATCTTCCACAAGGGCCTTAGGAAAATATCCATATCCTTTCCTGGGGATTTAGGTCCTGGGATTAATAATGTAAGCATCAAATACTCTGACCTCATACAAAGCCACGGGGGAAGATTGTAAACTGTCAATATTACTGGCCACATGCTATATGACTGGCTCATATCACCGAATGGGTTGAAGCCATCAGCTGCAAGTCCGAGACGAACATTACGCCTCTCACTAGAAAAATCTAGATGTCTAGCATCAAATTCACGCCAGGCTTTGCCATCTCTTGGATGAGTCATCACATCTTTATTATACTCAATACTATGCCAACGCATAAGTTTTGCCGTCTCTTCCATCGCGAATAATCTTTTCAATCGTGGGATGATCGAAAAATAACGTACAGCTTTATGTGGAATTTTGCTTCTAGAACATTTTCCAATGTTCTCTCTCCAGCGTGATTCCCCACATACTGGACATTCTTGTCTGTCAACATACTCTCATACTTGTCTGTCATACTTGCAGACATGTATACTCTCATAGCCCAAGCCCAAGCTTGCTAACAACTTTTTAGCTTCATAATATGAGTTGACTAGTTTCATTGAAGGAAATGCAAGTTTAAGCAACTTAAGTAACTCATCAAATGATTTATTTGTCCATTTTCCATTCACCTTGATATTCATCAGCTTTACTAGGAAATTAAGAGAAGAAAATGATGAAACACCTTGATATAATCTAGTGTTCATAGCATCATACAAGTTATGATATTGCTCATCGGGGCCCTCCATCCCATACTCCTCTGGATTCAAGTCTGCCATCACAGTCTCCATTTCATCCATCATCTCAAAGTCTAAATTCGACGAACCAACTTGGTATCCTGGTAAACATTCTCCATGGTGAATCCATGTATCATAAGATGCATCAAATCCAAACCTCTCAATGTGAATCTTAACGGCTTCTAAACTTTGAGATTGCACATTTAAGCATTTGTTGCACGGGCATTTAATCAAACCTTTCTTATTTACAAGAGGCCTACAGTGCTTAATAAAATCTTTCACACCATGCTTGAACTCTTTAGACATCCTATTTTTATATTTATCCATGCTTTATCCATTACTGTACCTGAAAAAATACAATAAAAATAAATATATATTCCAAAAACAAATATAAATAAATATTTATAAACTAATACTAAAATTAAATATATAAAAAAAATTAAGTAATAAAAATAATTGTTGTGTAGTGTATTTTTAATATTTAAAGTTTATCAATCATAATTAATTAGGAACATATATATATATATATATATTAGTTAGATATAGACCCTAGCAGAAATTTTTCGACGTATAGTAGAATGCAAAGTAGCTTGCTAATCTTGCATTTTCTTTGTTTCGTCTTACTTATTAGTTTATCTGTGATGAACTTTCTTAAAAGATCATTGTTTTCCTTTCTTCTGAATCAAGATGAATCTAATGTGCTAAAGTATTACACACGTAGGATGCCCAGGAATTCCTAAACTATTTGCTAAATGAACTGGTTAACATACTGGAGAAAGAGGCTCGAGCTACTAAGAGTGATCAAGAAAGGAAGGAACAAAGGCTGGAAAGGGGCGTCTATAGGGGTTATCGGATTGCAGCGATAGAAGGCAGATACTCGCATAGGGTATTTCGGTGATTTAATCCATCAGATATTAAAGTGTATTGATCAAGGTTGTCTTGATCTCAAAATAACTTTTTTTATTACTATCTCTTACTCATGAAAGGAAGTTAATTTCAATCAACTAAAAAATTCTTCATAAAGTGCTTAGTTATTCTAATTTCTTGTTCCATTCCTGATAGGTGTTGAACATTCATGGAGCTTGAAGCCATCACTTTATGCATTAGTTTGAAGCTAAGTCAAGAAAATAAAACTCACTACTATTCCTAATGAAAGAAGCTGCAGGTGCCTATTTTCACCATCAGAGATAAGAAGCAGAGATAAAGATACAAATGAAAGGTGAGTAATTTAATTTATATTCTTACTATTTACATATTATCAGTTTGTGTTGCACTACTCTGTACAAAGTAAACATTCCTCCACAGCTACAACTGATAGTGCTATAGAAAACAATTGCATGAATGGATATTGAAGATTTACCTTAATCTTCAAGAATTGCTAATGGAGAAACAGGGAGAAATGAGAATGAACTATGGCAGAGTGTAAATGTGTTGAATTGTTGGTGAGGAATTGAATGAAAGTAGATAGTGGTAGATGGTTAAATCAATACAGTGAAAGTTTATTGGAACGACATGTACTATCTATACGCATGACAAGTCGTTCTAATTAATATGACATTAATTGATCTGCAGGCATTTGGTGGGTCATTAAACTGACATATTTATTGGCACAATCAGTATATCTATTACAACGACATCCTGTTGTTGCTAAAGAGTCGCGCTTATAGTAACAACATTTGAAATGTTGACACGACATTTTGCGTTGCAATAGAGCAAACTATTTATGGGCACGACAATTTTATGTCGTTGCAATATATATTTCTATTGGCAAAACGTAGTTGTCGTTCCTCTTAAGCTTGTTTCTTGTAGTGTATATAGCTTCAAACTTATATTAGAAACGAAATAAAAAATTTCTACAACCATGCTGTTATTTTATCAGAATTCTATGGCGTCCATAGGGGCGCCATAAGTCATGCCACAATATTATGTGACATATGAGGTGGCTTTATTAATTATAATTATCAATTATATGGCTGGCTTTTTTTNGCATCCCTTGGAAGCACCACGTACAACTTCACGAAACCGCCACAATCAACACCATCTGTCGAGCCTTATATGTTATATCCCTGAATAATGCTGGAAAATAGTTAAAAAAACATTAATTTATAGAAAAAGATTGTTGGAGTTACTAGAATGATAAAACTGTCTCTTTTGTCCGGAGAGAGAGAGGTTGCAAATTAGAATTGATGTTGGGGTAGTGGCCGGTGGATTTGTTCTGCTCGCCGTTAAAATTGCGGTGTCTGTCGTAGTCTGTCTCATGGTGGAAAATTACGGAGGGTTTGTTAATTGATTTTGGTGTGAATTTTTTTTTTTTTTGAAAAAAAAGCCACCTCATATGTGCCATATAATTGATAATCATAATTAATAAAGCCACATCATATTGTGGCATGACTTATGACGCCCGTATGAGCGCCATAGAATTTCTGGTTGTTTATATACAATTTGTATGTACAAAATTTAAGATGAAAAATTTATAAAATTCACGCGTTTTCAAACACAAAATAAATTGAAGATTCATGAATTTTAATTGTTTTTGGAGAAAAAAAATAAAGCTGTAGATGTTGGAATTTTAGTGCTTGTTTGAGAGCACTTCTGAAAAAGTCCATTTAAGATATGAACTTATCCAAAATGGACTTCTCCAAAAGTCTCAATTATTTACTTATACAAAATGGACTTTTTGGAGAAACAACTTATCCATATGTCCATTCATTATTTAACACCAAACATAAATATTTATTCAAATAGACTTTTGGATCCAAAAGTCCATTTGAAAAGTGTTTCCAAACAAGGTCGTCTATTTATATTGAAGGTACATCAAAGTGATATTTTTATATTTATATTTATATACATATAGAAATAGATATATATATATATATATATATAAATATGAATTCTAAAGAATGTTTATAAATTAATTGTACATGTGCCGGTTATAAATGAATATTTTGAGTTGAAATGGTAGTTGTGTATATTTTTTGAGTTTCAATAAATTGAATATGTGGCAGGAAGTGTATATGAAAGAAACATGCACTTATAAATTTTTAAATTAAACTAAAAATGCGACAATTACATTACATATAACGAGTAGGTGAATTTTTTACAACATTGTGCAAGCGAAAGTGAAATATTTTAAAACATTAAATGTGCTATTCACCAGATTAAAGTGAAATATTTTAAAACATTAGTGCAACTCACCAGATTTGCCATGTACACCGTATGTGAAGTAAGATCCACTTGCATTTGCTAGACTTTCCTAATATAGAAAGAGACCCACATATAACTTTTAAAAAATAGTAATTGAGTTGTCTAAGAGCACGTTTGTTATTTCGGACTAGATTGGACAATTTTTATCTTGTGGTTGAAGATTGCACTGTTGAGATTATGTGCAATCTATGTTTGTTAGGAATGACTGCTCCAAGATGGATTTTGTTAATTTTTGTATTTCACATTTGTTTTCTTAGATGAGATATAAGATAAAAGTAATGAATTACCAATATGCCCTGATTTTAAAATATATATTAATAACCTCAACTTCTTTTTTTTTTTACATCACTGTTGAGAAAACAGAAATCAACACTACATAATATGATAAAGACAAGGAAAACATGTAGAGTGAATATACTTCACAAGGGAAAAAAAAAAACAGAGAAATAAATGATCAAATAAGGTTCAATTTTTTAGGAGTGAAAGGAAGAGAAAATTTGTGAGAATATTGAAAACGAGCTGTATGATTTGCTCATACTGACCGACATTTCGAATCTTATTTTCCTGGTAGTCCAAGAGAGCTTCAATTAACCCAAAACAAACCAGCTGGAGCTTGAATTAGCTTAGGTCTATAACAGAGATTGTATAAAATTTTACGCAGCAAGCAGAACAATAATTTAGCAAAGCCATGAAAGTAAAAAATCACAAATCCTGAAAGAATGTGTAATCTGCTAAGATATGCATTAAATTTAATTATTTTCCGTCAACACTCTCAACTAATTAATCCCTAATCAACATTTCACAACCTCAAGAACCTTGTAATCAAATTCACTGCTACTTGGCTAAATCAGAAAATTCCCCAAATCAAAAAACAAAATTTGCCCTAATCCCTAAATCAAGAAACCCCAAGTCTACCCCAATTCATCAATTGGCAGCCTTCTCGCACTCCTCAAACTCTTCACCAATTTTGCATCACGAAAACCTACCAAGAACTCAGCCATCGCCTCCAAGAACGCCGCCTGGTTCACGGTGTTGGCATTCACGACGTCGGCCAAGACGCTCCTCCTCAGCCTGTTCGCGTTCACCACCACTCCCACCAGCTCATCCATCTCCTCCGCCACCGCCTCCCCTACCATCCTCCAACTAGGGTTCGCGATTTCTCGCCGTCGACGAGAAACGAGTTTGCGTCCGGCGGTGGCGGCTTCGGGTGGAACAACTTGCTGGATTTGGAGACCTTAAACCAGATACCCATAACTTGGAAGATTTCTTAATCAACATTTTGATCTTCGAGATTCGATTTACAATGGCACAGAAATTTACAGGTTGAAAGAAGAAAGAAAAAAGAAGAGTCTGAAGAATTTTGTGCGAGAGAGAATTTTGTGCGAGATCTGATGCTTTTTTTTTTTGGTACAATCTGATGCCTTTTTTAAGGTAAATTTTGATGAGTTGTAAGGATAATTTAGAAATTGTATTCACTTTATGGGGTTAATTTGGTAGTTTGATCATATAAATACTGTACAAATGCAAATAATCTCACCTCCAAGACGAGATCAAATAATCGCCAATTCTCAAGATAATTCTCATTTGGGTCGCGGGCCTCATCTAGTCAGGCGGGCCACAATCATGGGAAACAAATGTAAGACTATGTCCAGATTAAGCCCATTATCTTGTCTAGTCTTCCCAGCAAACGTGCTCTAATTATATAGTAGATAGATTCTTACGTTTTCTTTCTTTTCTTCTTCTTCTTTTTTTTTTTTTTTTCNTCTTTGGAAACAACCATGGGCTATTTATATAATATATGAGGGCAGAATCGTTGTGATTCAATTGCACTTTATTTTGAATTTTTTCTTTTTGATGGTAAAATATCGATGGGAAGCTTCTTAGGAAAAAACAAAAGAAACCTTGAAAGTTTTAATAGATTTGTGAATATTCGAGTTCATTTGATGTAAATATAGTAGTGTAATAATTATGGTTAGTAGTTATAGTTTTGTGACTGGGTGAATTATGTAATTTAGAGATGTCTAACAATATTTGGTCACAACGATTTCGTGTTAGTCTCAGGCGTCAAACTAATCAATTCGTGCTTAATAAAGCTCTAATTTAAATGAAATAACAATTCACGGCATAACCTTAACCATAGCGGACTTAATATTGGACTACTTATTACTATCTAGTCATTCATCGAAAATTTACCATTAAAAAAAACATATAGAAAGATTTTATTTGATTGAAGCCAATTATCATAATAATAAATATTTTACGGTTATTACCAAATACCAAGCCCAATTCATTAGCAATGAAATAAATATATTGTAGATATTTTTGCCATATAGAATTTTGTGAGTCTAATATCTAACGTAGCATATTTGTGAATTATATATAACAGGGCTCGAGTGTTTTTACATTTACAAGAAAAATGCAAGTGAACTTGCTATTTTTGAAATTGGAATTAATGGAACTTTTTAACTTAATTATATGTAGATAAGGGAAAAAAAAAAAAAAATTGGATGGTGTTGGGAATTGAAATATTGTTCTTCGTCCAGAAATTCCCTCCCCATGTACAGATCATTCTAAAGATACTGAGAGAACAACAAATGACGCAAACCGGCACATGGAAAATGATGATGAGTTTGCTTAAACGCAAAAAAGGTTGTTAAATACAAAATATCAATTTTGCTATTATATATATATTTAAGTAATTAATTATCAGAAAAATGAAATCTGTCGACGTTCCATTAATTAAAACTAGAAAACGGACGAAACTGAAAATATAACACAAGCAGCAGCAGCAGCAGCTTCTTATTTGCAATCAGACTAAAGGAAAACACATCAGTTTCGTCCATCTAAACAAAAACANTTTCTTGCTCAACTTCCCACCATTCCTCTTCCCGATAAAATCCCTCAGCACAACATTCTTGCTCCTGAAAAAATACACTCCCTTCCCTTTACCAACACCACTCTTCTTCTCCTCATCCATCCTCAACACAACATACTGAATCTTCTGAACCTCCAGCTGCAGCCTCCCAATCCTCTCAGACCCTCTTTTCGCCTGTTCCCCCACTTTCCTCCTCCTCATCCTAACCGCCTCCCGAGCCTTAGGCGAAAATTTCCTATCTGGCGAAGGACAGCTCTCGATATTCCTCAAAAGCTGTCCGTTCACCTCTGCCAAGTACTCCACAGTATCCTCTGCCTCCGCCACCTGTTCCCAAACAGTCTCCAAATCCAAGTTCTTCGATTTCCTTCCCTTTTTACCCGTTTCTTCCAATTTTGCCCTTAGGATACCCAGAGTCGTCCGAAGATTCTCCAGTCGAGCCCCGTCCATCGAGAGCCTCTCCAGAATCTTCCGCTCGTTTTCGCAACTTTTTCTCGGGAGCTCCACCCTCAGCTCCTTCTCGATATCTGAGTCGGTTGAGGGAAAATCGGACTTATTATTATTATTATTATTATTATTATTGAATTTTTTGATATGGTCGAAGACGATGTCCTTTTCGGTCATTTTGCAGGAAGAGAGGCGGAGGGACTCGCCTATGGTCAGCTCCGGGCTTTCCCAGGCCCGGTCAAGAGGGATGTCTTTCATGGCGGAAGTCAACTTTCGAGGTTTGGCTTTATTGGTCTTGGGTGGGTCCCGACCAAGACAGCGGACTGATTTTGATGGGGGAGTCTCGGTTTCGTCTGTTGACGTCAGTTTTTCTCGATGCTTTCGGGAACTCGACCTTCTGTGAAGCGTGGGCTTGTTTGTTTGCTCCATTAGTTTCGAGATTGTTTTGATTTTCGCGTGCAGGGTTTGAAGGCTGGCTAACGAGTTGTTTTCTGGATGTGTAGTTTCAGAAGAGGCGCATTTACGAGGGTCGGATTCAATTTCTGGCTGCTGAGAAGAATGTGGAAAATTTAAAAGACGGCAACTAAGTTCAAGAACAAATTATAAATGAATAAGTTGATAAAAGAAAGGAAGAACTTATCTTGCATGTGATGAGAGATATTTATAATACTCCCTCCTTTTTTTAATAAGTGTCGTTTTGAGAAGTTCCACATAATCTTTTTTTTTCCAATAATAACCCTCATTAATGAGGATAGAGATGAATGTTTTGAGAAGAGATGAAGAGTGAATATGAAAAGACGTAGTTATTTATTAGCTAGATGAGGGTAATAATAAAAAAATATGTACAAAAGATCCAAAACGTCATTTATTTGGTTAATTGTTGATAAAGCCAAAATGACATTCAAAAAAAAAAAATAGGAGGTAGTATTATTTTACCTCATCTGCACTGTATTTATGGGATGATTTAGCCTTTGTTAGGCGTGCACTGTTCTCGAGTGACGTGACATCATCTCTCAGTGCATCTATGACTGGAGCATATGCGTGCAGCCGAGATTTCAACACGATGATCTCGTTCTCCATTGAGCGAATGTTCCCTTTCATTTCCTGAATCAAGGTCGTTTTTGAAGTGTTTTCGTTGTCAAGAATCTGATACACCTCAGCAAGCTCTCCCAGCTTGTTCGTGAGCAAAATTTTATGAACAGATGATGAGATTTGAAGATCGAAATAAAAACCAGAGGCCTCAGACTCCCATAACGTGAACTCATTGTTCTTCTCTTGAAGCTCTGAACTTAGAGTTTGCTCTCTGATTATTTTTTGTTTGATTTCTTCACGAAGTTGGCCGAGTTCAGTCTCCATGTTTGTTTGAACTGTATGAAGGCTCTCGATTTCCGATTTCTGAATGGAATTATTCTGAGACAGCTCGATCATTTTATTTTCCAAATTCTCCTTTATCCTCATGGATGACAGAATATCATTTTCGAGCTCGTCTACCGTTGCAAACAACTTGAGGTTCAAATTTTCAGCGGCTTCGAGCTTAACTTCAGAATCCAAAAGCTTTGCTTTAGTTTGAAGCAAATTCTCTTTGACGCTCACGGCTTCCTTTTTGGTCTGTACGTTATATTCTCTCATTCCTAACATTTCCCTTTCCAAATTGTGAACACAATCTTTAAGGAGCAGATTTTCTGTCTCCAGAAACTCGACCTTCTCTGTCAGTATGCTCATTTCCCGTTCAAGCCCTCTGTTGATCTTATGCTGTCTGTTTAAATCTTCGAGAAGTAAATTCAGTTCGTAAACTTTTTCTTCACCGAAACTCCTTAAAAAGGCAGACTCCTTCCCAGCGGCAAGATATTCAATCAGAACAGTGTCATTATGCTGATCTAACAAAACTTTCTCTTCCTTGAGATCACAAAACTTTTTCAATAAACTTTTGTTTTCCAGATTCACTTGCGAATAAGATTCTTTCGATAACACGTAATCTTTATGCAAACCAGCTTGCTTTTTACGAAGATTATCCATCTCAGCCTCAAGTACAGCTGCATGCCGATTACTCTCATGAGCATTCAATGTTAGTTTCCTGTTCATATCTAAAAATTCATCTTTCTCATTTTTCGCCATTTCAAGATTCCCAGCCATCGTCTTAATCTCTTCTTCCAATGAAATCTTCTGCGACTCGATTTCCACCCCCCTTGACTCTAATTGCTCAAGTAAAGTTAAAAGGACCGAGTTCTCGACCAATAGCAGCTCCTTATCATCCTCATGTCCTGTAGCTGAAGATTTCAAATCCTCAATATTTCCCAAGATATGGTGCACGAAAGCCTGCTCATTCTCAAACTTTCCCTCGCAAGTCTCGAGGGCTCTGAAAATCTGGAAAATACTCAATCTCAGTTGTTCAATTTCGTCCAACAGGATTTCGGATTCAACCTGCTGCTCGAGATTCTCGCTTTCGAGCTCTGAGATTAATTTTTCGGCCAATTTCGATGCCTCAACGTGTTTCTGGCACTCAACCACGAGTGAAGAATTTTTTTCTTCCATATCCTTGGTGAATTTCTGCAAGATGGATATTTCAAACTGAGCTTTCAGAGATTTTTTGAGTTCATCTTCGAGTTCCTTCTTTTTCCTCTTGTTTTCTTCTTCCAAGAAGTGTATCTTGTCTTTCAACCCTGCCAATTTGGTCTCACTTTGTACTTTGGAGCTCGTCCGTTCTTGCTTTTCAACACTCAAGGAAGCCTTAAGCTCCTCGACTTGACAGTGCACGGCATATTTTTCCTTCTTTATGTCGACGTATTTTTTCTCAAGCCCATTGTATCTTTTTTCCATGCTTTTCAACCTTCTCTCGACAGTCTCCAGCTTAGAAGCTAGCGTACTTCGTTCATTCAAAAGAAAAGACCTCTCGTTCTTCAGCAGTTCACAAATTTCCTCAAGCCCCTTCGATTTTTCTCTCAGACCTTCCAGTTCAACTTTTGCAGTCGATAGAGAATTCTCAAGAACGGCATTTTTTTCCAAGAGCTTGTGCATGGTCTCGGTTATAGTCTCCAGTTGAGATAAAAGAGAAGCTTTCTCGGCAGCAAGTGTGGCCTTTTCCCCCTCTACCAACCGACAAGATTCATGCAATGCTATTGCCTCCTTTTGAGAGCTTTCCAGCTCAGCTTTCATGTCTGACGCATAATTTTCAGAAGTAGCCTTTTTACTCAAAAGCTCTTGCATGCTTTCCAGCTTTTTCAAGAGAATCGAATTCTCATTGGCTCCCGTTTCACTCATTTGTCTAAGATTTGAGTTCTCGTCTCTTAAGCTTTTAAGCGAAGCCCCCAAACAGTTTTCTCTCAAACCAGCCGCCTCCACTTGCTCAACTACTGCCTGGTAACTTTTGTTCAAGCTTTTTATTTCCTCTTTCAAGCTCATAATCTCCTTCTGAAGAGAATCACTCAAATTGATGTGGTCCAAGACTTCTTTGTCGAGTCTCTCCTTGATCTCCCTCAGCTCAAGAATTTCATTCTGCATATTCTCCATAGAAACAGCCGAAGACAGGCTTTTTTGGGTCAAATTCTGGTTTTCATCACGAACATGTTGAATCTCCTCTTCCAGAAAACCTTTATTTTCTTCCAAGTCCTTAAGCACTCGAAGCACGTTCTCGAGCTCCACTTTCAGTGCCCTTTGGTTGTCCTGAGAATGAGAGTGCAAATTCTGCAGACTTTGCAGAGTGGCCTCGATTTGCTCACGCCGAAAATTCTCATCCCCCAAACACGTCCTTAAATTCTCCAACTCCACTTGCTTCTCCGAGAGCTCCCGATCTTTGCTAACTATCTTTCTCGTCAGATTCTCGGCCTCAGTTTTCAGGGACAAATTCGACGTCTCCAAGAACTTAAGATTCTCTCGAGCCTTCTCGAGTTTCATATTTTTAACCGACACATCTTTATTAAGGCGCTCAACGTCCTCTTTAACACTCAACAACTCTTTCTCGAGCTCCGACATCGTCTCTAAACATCCCCTGTACTGTAAAGCCGAAGCTTCTCTCTCTTTGTGCAAATCAGCAATAGCCCCCTTAAGCTCACAGACCTCTTTTTCCGCTTTCTCCGCTTTTTCCCTCAGCACTATCCCTTCATTCTCAGCAACGGAAACAACACTCTCGAGAGCAGATAATTTCTCAAGACACTCTTCGTACTTTTTAAAAACGGCATTTTTCTCGACCCTCAATCTCGAAATCTCGTCAGACAGAGCCTGAGCTTCGTTTTCCACCTCTACCGCTCTCATATATTGCCTCTTATTATCCTCTTCAGCTCGAGCAAGCACTTCTTCCAAATCAGCTATCTTGTGCAGACACTGCTCGTGTTTAATAATCCCCGCATTCTTCTCGACCTCCAACTGCACAAGCGCCTCTTTTAAAGTCTGAACTTCGATTTCCGCTCGACTGGCTTTTTCGTCAAGCCTCTTCGCATTTGTCTCTGCACTGTTGAGTTCAAACTCCATGCATGAAAGCTTCTTCACACACTCACGGTACTTCAAAAGTGCGTCTTCCTTCTCAGCACTTGCTTCGGCAAGTGCCATTTTCAGATTTACCTCGAGATCTTGATTTTCGTTCGATGGTTCGGGAAAATTCTCGTTTGTTTGCTCGTTTTCGTTTTCGAAGATGGGGATTTTGGCCCGGGAGAGGGCCCGGTGGGCGTGGTGGAGCTCACAGGTGGCGTGATTGTAGCGCTCGGCGAGGGCCCGGTAAGCCCGGTAGAATTCCTCGACGAGCCTCATGAGTTCGGGCCGTTTTTTGTAGTACATTTCGGCCCGCCTGGCGAATGAGTCAGCATCTTCTTCGATCAGCTTGATCATCGACTTGACTTTCGCGTCCATATCTGTTTGTTTGTTTGTTTTTTTCNGAAAAAAATGTACACATTACAAACCAGAAAACTGAGAGAATGAAATTTATGGGTGCTGAAATTTTAATTTTTTTTAATAATAATTTAACCTTATGTTTGAGTTAAGAACTGTAAATCAAGAATCTATTTCCTAACATATATAGTGGGAAGGCAAGGCATATGAATGGATACACTACTAGTGTGGCACCTATAGATATCATGAATTATAATAATTTAGAAGTCTCTTTATTACATTGAAAAAAAATCACCAGAATTACCATTATTGTATAATCTTGGGAGTGAAGAAGGGAAAGTACTGACCAGTTAGATTTTCTTGAAGCCATTTAGAATTCTTAGGGCTGATGTGGCTGTCCCACCACCACGAGTACTTGCGCCTCGACTCAGATTGGGAAAGGGTCGTCATAACTCCAGTAAAATAACAGAAATTCAACTCGTTCGATATTGTAAGAACACGTGGCCCTTATGCCAGTTAACGAGTAACTGGTCCTTCAGTAGAAGCTGGTATTAGCAACAAAATGTATGCTTCAATGACCAAGATCACTGGAAAAGGACAACAAGGAAGTAATTATGGATTTATGCATTGAGGTTTCATGATTCATATCAAATATACAGTTTTGAGAGTCAACGGGGTTCGGTTATACCTGTATGACTGTGGACGAGTTGAATGAACTACAACAGTTTGAGGTATCTAACTACTGGACAAAAAACCTGAACAAAACAAGTATATATACATTAGTCAGAATCCACATGTCCAGAAAGGAAATTTATACAAAGACTTGAAGGCAAGAAATTGATGCAAAGTAAGAAGGCTTGCTCCTTATTGTGCACATGATCTTCCTACAGATGGTAAAACTAATATGTAGGTGCGATCTTGAAGGGAAAAAAAGAAAAAGAAAAACTAAAAAAGAAATGCATTATTATACAGATGGTCAAACGACAATGTATATTCATCCTAAAAAAGAAAAGATGGATAGTTCTTGGTCTATTTTCTCAGAATTATTGAAGAAGATACAGGTCATGAGTTCCTTTATTACCCAAAAACAGAACAAAACAAAAAATGAGAGAAAATAAATCAGAGAAATTAATTTCACTAGACATAATTCCACCGACTTCTGCAGCAAAATCCCACATATAGCACAAATTACACAAACCAAGAAAAAAAAAACTCAATTCCTTTCTAAATTAAAAAATCTAGCGAGCATCGTATGAATTGAAACCAATCAAAGAATTAATTTCAATGACACATAATTTACTCTTTTTTCCCAAGACAATGAGCACAGACCAACGGATTCTTAAACGAACGAAGTCTGGTGAAAAAACCTTAAAACATAATCAGTGAGTTAAAAAAACTCAGCAAACAATCAGATAACCACTATGGCTTTATATTCATGCAAATGGGCCTTCACAAAAACTTAGAAAAAACCGAATCTTTACATTCATGGATGAACAGATATTTGAAAAATAAAAAGGAAATTCCTCTGCTACCCCAAATGGGATAAATGCTTACAGATTAAAAAGGAAAAGAAAAAACACAATCTCGATTCAGCAGCCGTTCTCACGAAAATCACTCCAGCTGCAAAGTTTCACCTTTCACCCCATTATTTTCTCTCGCTCACAAATGAGTTCTTCAGCTTCTTCCTTTATATATTTTGTCTCTATCTCTATATCTTTGAGGGATTATTGATCAGTAATCAACAGTGTGTATGCGTTATTCTCAGTCTTTTGCTTATTGGTCGATAATTTTTCATATGGCGACCTGCAAAAGTACAGAGTGAAAAGCTTTGCAAAGCTATGACTAGTCGGTGTACACTGTGGTACATTTATACCGTATACCTACGCATAAGGAACAAATCCCAATATTTTTAGAGGTTTCCAAAAATAAAAGTAAAGGTTTTTTTAGTATTCTGCGTAAAATAAGTCATATTAAAATTAAATACTTTCGCAAAGTTGTACCATCTGTGTAATCAATCTACTTGTAAATGTACATTTACTGTAAAAATGATTTCAAAAGAGTGGAAAATAAACGTTATGTGTGATGCCACATAATACTTTCATTTTTTTAGGAATTCTGGCAACGGATTTATTTTGCATATGTGGATTTATAAATCTGTCCTTTGTCTTCGCTTTATTGGGTTAGAGAAAATGGTATGCATCACGACTCAAGCATGGCTGAGAGCCAATTGAGATACATTATCGATCTGCTTTTGATTTATTTTAGAGTTACCTTTTTCCAAAACAAAAGAAGAATGGGAAAAAAACCTCAGCTTGAGTATAATTCCTTGCATAAAATTTGAGGAAGATTTTATTTATGGACTATTAATGTTTTGTTTTACAAATACCGATTGAAATATCATATCATAACTGAAATTCCGCTTGAATTAAACCTCAACTTTAGAATTTAAAAGAATTGAAATATTTTTGTGTAGACCTATTCAAGAGTCTGAATATTGGTGTAGAAATCAAAATTTTAATATTTTATTAATTAGTGTCTTTATTTATTTTTGGACATAAATCCATGATAAATAAAATATATAATTAATAATATTATTATTTTTTCCCACCAAGTCAAATCTTAAGATTATGAAATATATTATATCAAATCTTAGGATGAGAAAAGAGATTATATCAAATCATGAACGACTAATCAAATTGAAGTCTTCATCTCCAAGACTCTCTCCTACATCTATCAATAGGGCTCTTTCAAGGTAAAAAATGATACCTCATAAATCAAACACACCTCATCAATCACAACTCAAAAATAAAATCTCAAATTCACGAGATCTCAAGAACTCTCTTAAAGATTTTAAGACATTCTTGAAGATCCAAGGACCTTCAAAAGATCAGCGTTCAATCTGGAATCAAGTCTTCTAACCTTCAAAGTACGCTCAATGGAGAAGAATACGAAGAAAAAGAAGTGGCGGTCCTCCAATAACTAAAGAGGCGACATCCATTCCTCTCAAATCATTCAAGAACATCAACGACGTTCAAGGAACATTCAAGCCGCATTCGTCGAGAAGTTCAAGCAACATAACGTTTGATCCCGAAAAAAGCTCTCAAGCCCTCGAGTCAACGTTATTCAATTTCAAGCGTATTCAAGAAAGATTGAAGAGACAAGTCTTCCAAGAAGTCGTTTCCAATCAAATCAAGTCAAGATCGTTTAATTCGAGAATAAGTCATTTGACCCCCCAATTAACGTTATACAAATTCAAGCTCAGGCATAAAGGAGATCCAACCGTCAAATCTATCTTCGAAGATCCAAATCCAAGTTCAAGAAGAGAAGAATCAGAGGAGATAAATAGAGATTATACCCGCATATCGTTTGATCGACATAAAAATCAAGTTGTACAGAAGTTTTATGTTTTTCATAAAATTTGTTGTTACAATTGGTTCTTCTAAAAAATGGATAAAAAATAAGCTTGTTAAATTAAAAAAAAATCACGATCGTTATTTTAATTGCGATTTAAACGCAACTTTGTAATTTTCACAGTTTAAGACACGACTTTTAAATTTTGCAAAGTAAGACATATACTTAAGTTTCATTGATGGGTGAACGAGGTGTTGGATAATTTTTGTTTAAAAAATATTGGATTGCAATATAAAGATTAAATTTCAAATTATCTACTACACTAAATAACATATATAAATTTGATATGGTCACATTTGAACATCACCGATAAATATGGGCCAAAGTAGCGGCAGACGTTCTTTGTTCATGGAGGCCCAAAGATCCGCAGTTTGATGCAACATATATAAAGATAAATCAGTAGGTTTGTAATTTAAGTCGACAATAGTATCGTGCTTGTAAGCCATAATTTCAATAATAGTTTGTCGTCTCGATTGATAAATTATTTTTGGAAAAGATATTAAATTTGATCAATAAGTTATAGTAGATGGTGATTTTACGATTGCGTTTTATTTTTTCCAATTACCTTTATACATGATAAAAGTTTAAATCAAGTTCTTTCCAAACAATGAAACATAAAGACAATTTCTCAAAATCGAACACCTACCTCTATCAAACGAAGATAAACATCTCCCATTGCAACTGTTGCCACTTTTGTGGCATTGCCCATGTAGACGGTAATTTCCTCTTTTTTAAGTTTCCTAACTTTCTAAATCCCCTGCAAAAAATTACAGACATGATGAGTGACTCCCATATATATACAACACGTACTAGTAGATAACACTCTAAACATGCTTCTACGATAAGAGTATATAATTTACCTCCATTGACCTAATTGAGGAGAAGGAAAGTTTCAGCGACATAACGAGTGTGGCGTCTTGCCCTGCCTGCCAACTCGCGAATCAGTGGATAATTTAGCTAAATTGTGAGTGTGCTTTTAATGTTTGTGTGCTTAGTGTGTGTTTTGGCTGTTGGTGTAAGGCCCCTCTACTTATCTTTGGAAAAGTACTGATTTTTCACAAGTGATTTCAAACTTTTTCGAAAACAATTTAACTTTTAAAACTTTTCTCAGGGCACTTACTTAAAAACTCTTCCTTCTTTTTACTGGACACTGCTTTATTTCTTTAAAACTCAACTTAAGACGCTAACTTAAGTTCTTATGGGAACGCTGATCCCATCTGCTGTCTTAACCTCTTAGTGCTATTTTTGCTGCTTAACTACTAACTGCTATTCTTGCTGCTTACTTCTAACTTTACATGCCAATAACATACTCATGCATAACTTCAAAGTTTCGAAACAACTGGAAAGAGTCACAAACTAAGTTTCAAAACAAGTTCTAGTAGACAACTCAAAAGCATAAGTCTAAAAAAGTCTTAGCGGAAGCATAAACTGAATAATCATAAAAGGACCACCCTCGCCCATCGTGTCCATCGCCATCTCGATCAACCTGAAAGAAAAATAAGGGGGGGAGCAAAACAACTATGCTCAGTGGAGAATCATACTGCACAGTTATTTGCCATAATAACATATAGCATAATATTAGCATGAATATGAAGAAACTGGTCTCGACTACTGTTGTTGCTGTACTCGGTGGGTGAAGGAGATGCAAAACCAACCCCACCGAGTCTATCTCATGTGTACACACTTTTCTGGTTACAAGAATTGAAAAACTAACCAAACTCACACTGGGAGATCTACTGTAACTGATGCCCACGCTCAGGCAAAGTACTTACAAACATATCTTTACCATAATACCTTGTGATTATAGAGAATTAAAGCGTAGTAATGGATCCCCACCTCATGCGGATGATGAATGAATGCTTGATGATCATTTTGAGGGCTCGACTCTTCTTAATCTACAAGTTTAAGAATTTATTTAGTATTATAATTTTACTTAACAAATTATTGAGATAAGTTCTTGGTTGAATGTTTAAATAAATTACTTTACTAATTTCTTAAAATTAAACTCTTAATTAAAAATTAGTTAACTTCTTCTCTTACTGCTGCTTCAAACTCTCTTAACTTGTTTAAAGTTCTGGGATAAAAAGACATAAGGCTCGAAAAACTAGGTTCGGAACCGGTCTGAACTGGACTACACGGGCCCACTCAGCTCGGCTAGCTGGAAGTCTCAGGTCGACCAGGTGATGCAGCTACACAACACTGGTCTGGCCCGCTGGGCGCTGCTGGGCTCGGCCTAACCTAGGTCGGCTGGGTGTGGTGGGTGCTGTGCACTAGGAGACCTAGGTCGTCGAGCGCTACTTGTTGGGACTGGGCGCAACTCGCTGGCTACGCGGGTCTACTGTTGAGGGGACACGGGCACGCACAGGCACGCTTGATGATAGGTCTTGCACGAGCGCACGTGTGCTGCAGGGATGCGCGGGCGTGCACTGGTCGCGGCTCGGACGCTACAGGATCGCTTGCACGGCGTGCAAGCACTGCCGAATCGCCGGTGGTCATCTGCGGGCACACAGATGCGGCACGCGGGCGTCTCGGCACTCTACGCACGGAATTTGTGAGTCTGTGTAGATGTCTATAAAGTGTTGAGGGAAGCACAGGCAAGGTCGTCTGCGGGCACGGGATAAGGGCAACGGGTCTCTGCGGGCTGGGTCTAGGTTGAGCCTTTCTCCATAGAGCTATCTCCGGCGACTCTCAAACACTTAAAAAGCTTATATTTTTCTATGTTTTAACATGCCAATGGCTCAGTAAACTTAGCAACCTAGGTCTAAGGCTAAGCTTCTCATTTTTTTTTATTTTTATTTTTTTTTTTCTTAATTCTTCTACTTAAAATCTTAAGCATGCCTTTTCTTCTTTATTTAACTGAAATCTAAGCATCTTAAATTCATACTTTTCAGCATGAACATAATACTAAACCGAGGCTCAGCTAAAAAAATCAATCAAGGCAACAACTTGGATTTTTTATTACTTCCTCGCTTAAACTTTTATAAATTCATGAATGCTATTTAACTTCTTCTTTAACTGAAAATACCACATGAACTCAGCCATAAAAGGTTTACTTGAGGCTCATCTATTTACCTCTCTTCAGGAAAGGGTAAAGAAATAAAGTGACAGGGTTCTCGGCTAGGTGTTGCTCGGTGTCTTGCTGAGGGGTGTCCTCGGCACTTGGTGGCTGTTAGGGTTCTCCTCGACACTTGGTGGCTGATGGGATTCCTTGGTACGAGCTCGTTGCTTTCACTGTTTCAAGGGTCCTCTTCGGTCATTGCTCGTCTGCTCTTGGCTCCTATCGGGTCGTGCGCTGGCTTGCTCTCGAGAAAGTGCTCGGTCTCCTCGGCACTTGCTGGCTGCCGAGAGCAAAATGCTGGGGAGTTGGGAAGATTTTGGAGAACTTTGAAGGGTGAAAATGATGGTGGCGGCTGAACATTGGATGGTTTGAATAGGGATGTACTAGGGCTGCCATTTGAACTGGGAGAGAGGAGGAGTTGGGACCTAT